GAAACACAAGATAAACTTGTTTCTGCTATTTTATGAAACAACAGTTCATTCATTTTTTTTCTTTATGATCGAATACAAGTAATTGTTCATTGGATGAAAATTCATGTTTATTATTGCAATAATTATACAATGTTCTAATGGATTTACAAATTTGGATGTATGTATGTTCGTTATTGTGGTGATAATTGTATATAGTCATATCGTAACTGTTTTTCTTTTTGAAAACTGGTTTCAAAAATATATAAATTTTTTAAGAAGAAATTTTATAGGATACAATTATATACTTTTTGTTGATTTAGTATTTGTATATTAGAAAGAAGATCAGTGTTATCGAAACAGGTAATCGTTGGTGATAATTGTATATAGCCATAACGTTAGTGTTTTGCTTTTGAAAACTGATTTCAAAAAATATAAAAAGATTTAAAGAAGAAAATTCATAGGATACAATTTTATACTTTTTTGATGTAGTATTTGTATATTAGAAAGAAGATCAGTGTAAACATTATTAATCTGATTGTATAAAAATGTTGTATTAATTGTATATATGATTTCTGTGAATGATTTGAAATAAAATTTTGTTTGAAAATTGTACAGATAATGGTCTCATTGGCTACTAAAATATACAAATTATAATCATATATGAAATTTTCCCATCTCTATAACTAAATCTAATTACTTTCTGTATATGTATACAAAAATAAAAATAATATAGAGTCTTTAATATACAATCCACTACTACCACTATTAAAACTTAGTGTATTATCCATTATACATAACTTAAAGTATGTATAAACTAATCAAATCCACAGACACATACAATAACTAAAGGAATATACAAATAAATAATGGAAGATACATACAAATAACTAAAGCATGTGCGTACTAAACATGCAAATATACTATATACAATTACGTGAATACAAAATTTGCTTACACAAATAATTTTTTGTAATCATATGAAATTTTTCCATCTGTATAATATAATTACTTTTTGTATATGTATGTAAAAACAAAATAATTTTGGAGCCTTTAATATACAATCCAACTACTATCACTATTAAAACTTAGTATATTATTCATTATACATAACTTAAAGTCTGTATAAACTAATCAAATCTACAGACACATACAATAACTAAAGGAATATACAAATATATAATGGAATATATATATAAATAACTAAAACATGTGTGTACTAAACATGCAAAATACACTATATACGATTACGTGAATACAAAATTTACTTAAACAAATAATTTTTTTATATTGACACCTAAGTAACAAAAAAATTGCATCTAAAGTTGTGTTTTAAGCCACTACCTCATAATTATGATGTTCTTCAGATTCTTCAATTTCAAATGCATTCTCCTCTGAATCACTGTTTACTGCTTTCCTCTTTCTTCCTCCTTGTACAATTTTAATGCCTCAAGCTTTGGCATTGTTAAGAACTTCTTGAACTGTCGTAGGGTCATATTTTTTCTTTGATCTCAATTCTTCCATTGTTTGTTCATGTTGAACTTGTTTGGATTTTACCATAGACCCTACATCAATCCCAAAATCTTGAGCTAAACCCATTGAAAACGAGGGTAAATTGTCAATAAAATTGACATGCAATTGAATACCTCTGGTAATCTTCATAGATGAAGATGATTCATTCATTCTGATTTTGAAGAATTTGTGATCTAATAAGAACAAAAAATTGATTATTTCACCAAAAAAATATGAAAAAACATAAGAAACACAATACATATACAATTGTTGAATAAGAAAAAATAATGGAAAACGACTAAAATTTAGGAGTACCTGCGAAAGTTGAATTCAATTTCGGGAGGGAGGAATTGAATTTTTGACAATTTGAAATTCAAAATCCGATAGAAGTGTTAATTGTAGAAGAACAAGGTGGAATATGAATAGGAGAGATAATATTATTTTGTGTAAAATTATATACAAAATTAAAAAAAAAAGTTTTTATACAATTGATTTAGGAATAGGTGATGGACCCCATTAATTATAGAAAAAAATAAATTATAATTATAGAAAATAAATAAATTAAACTATATCCTTATTATATAATTACTTAGGAATGTTTGTCATTCCATGCAATTTTCCCTTATATATTTTGTCTGAGTTGCCTTTTGATAGACTATGTCTAGTGTGTGTAAATCGCCTCTTTCCTCTTTCGCGCACCTCTCTTGTCCCTCTACTTCTTTATATATGTGTTCCACAACTTCATGTATCTATGTATCTAACATTTACCAATATATTTAATGTATTTGTGTGTATCAATTTCATCTACTGTGCTCGATATTTAATATTTAGTGTATCCAAGAAATTTTGCAGCTACTTGTAAGACATTTTTCTACGATTTCACATACTGGAAATTTTCAGCTACGCAAAAGTTAAATAATCACAAATATATTATATATACCAACATTGTAATTTAGTCTTTTGTCCGTGAACAAACTCAAAGAATTGAATTACTGTGTCCTTTTCCCTACATGTTGTGTGTTTCAGAAACTCTTGTTCGGAAAGGTCAAGAGGACAAGTAGAATAGAATACGGGTTATATGTGATGGACCAGAAAACAAAGCCACAACAAGACAAGGTTAAAATATTGTTTGTAATAAAAAAAAGGGAATGAAGGCCTATAACTTCGGGACAAGAGACTAGGGCATGTTCCTGTTGGTGTTCTTAGACAAATAAAAGATTTTAATACTTGTAGTAACTTTACTATTGATCAATGTATCATATGTCCTCAAGCTAGACAGACTAGAATTCAATATTTGATTTAGTGCATATGGATATAGTGGGCCCATATAAGGTGACCACTCATAACGAAATGAGATTTTTTTCTCACTTTAGTGAATGTCAATCTAGATGGACATGGACTTTCGTAATTGCTTTAAAGTATGATAAAATTGTTGTTCTGAAATATTTTTGGAAAAAATCACTCCACATACACAATTAGAAGACATATTACAGGTTTTAAACCTACTTTTAAAAATCTCACTTATAACGATTTAATTACGGATTATAACATATCATATATTTATTTATAAATTAATTAAATTTTACTTTATTAAATAATTAATATTTTTATATTATTATTAGATGATTTAAATAAAGTAAACACCATAATTATCTCTTGCACAATTATAGAGATTTACATAGATTCATGTTACTTTTTTATAGTCACATGTTGGATTGACATTGATTCATCTTCTTTTTTTTACATTGTCATTATCTCTTACACCATTTTAGGGATAACATTAATATTAGAGAATCAATTGTCATTATCTCTTAATACCATTTTAGGAATTTTTTTCATCACAAGTGTCACACTTATTCTTTCTCAAAACGAATTGTTTGTTTTGAACGAAAGAGTTTTTCCAATTACAGTGACATTTCAAAAAGAAATTATTTTTTATTCAGAGTCGCCACTTGAAATTGTGTTATGGTGTTCCAAGTCACTTTTTGTTTAATCCCTAATTAAAAGGAAATGATTCTTTGTTTGATATGCGAATCAGAAATTCAGGTAAGAAATTTTGTTGACTGAGAGAAAGGTATTAGGCATCTCTCGAGTCTCGTTGTTCTAGCACGATCGCTTTAATTGACTTATACTTATTTTTATAAAGTAAAATACTAAACTTCTAAAATAAATTTTAGACCATTTTCATGTTATTTTTATTTTTTACTATTCTTAAAGTTGATGCCAAAATTAAACATAACTTTCTAACTCAACAAAACAATATTGAATCGTAAAATTAAATCTCATTTTTTTATTGATAAAATAAAATAAAATAATTTTATTCTATTTACTTATTTTAATATCATTTTTATTTTTTACTATTCTTAAGGTTGACGTCAAAATTAAACATAAACTTTCTAACAACAAAATAATATTGAATCATAAAAATATATCTCATTTTTTATTAATAAAATAAAATAAAATAATATTAATCTATTTACTTATTTTAGTCTAACAAATCTTACTTTATTATCATTGTCTACATATAGAAAAGAACAATGTCATCACATTTTATTTTTAAGAGGTTACAACTAATGAATAGAAATAAATAATAGAAAATAATCATCAATTAATGCTACACTCATTAAGTAAACAAAGATATAACTCTTTAACCCCTATTCATTTCAATCCTATAATAAATAAAACAAAATTATAATTAAACTAATCATAAAAATTACATCAAATTTCATAAATTAATTAATGATTTAAGACAGAGTTATACCTCAAATAAAGAGAATAAGTTTTAAAAATCTTGACCGAATCTCGATTGAAAACATCCACAAATTTTTGTAGATTGTATGGAGTAACATATGTATTGTATTGGTATGAAAATAAAGAAAAGGTAGGAAAAGATATGAATGTGTTAGGCAGATTTTTGAAAGAAAATAAAAGGAAACGGAAGTTTTTTTTCAACTTCTCGTGCAGATTTTTTTTTATGTTGCTCAACTTTTTTATGTTTTTTTTCTACTTTTTCCATTCTATTCTGTTTTTATTAGTATGTATATAATAATAGTAGTGTACTAGTGTAGGTGATGTGGGGGAAGATGTGAGGAGTTGTGTGCAGTGGAGTGATGTGGGTTGAGGGAAATGGGTAGTAGTGGAGTTAAGGAAGGTTATTACTAATAATTAATATAAAAATTATAATAAGAAGAATATAGCTAATTATTAAAATAAAATAATAATTTAATAGCTAATATAAAAATTATAATTAAGAAATATTAGTGTAAACCAAAATTTTAATATATTTTTTAGTTTCAAAATTTTAAAATAAACTTATTAAATAAAGCAAAATTCAAATATCTCAAAAAAATATTTATGAATTAAAAAAAATACTGTAAATCTTATTTTTCTGTCAAAAATTACGTGTCTATGATAAGGCAATCCCCACCCACACCTCCCCTTTTATTCATATGCAAACCCCACACCCCCACCTTCCTATCTTACCCATACACAACCCCCCCCCCCCCCACCTTCCTTCTTTACAGAGAACTAATTTTTTCTTTTTCACCATATTCAACATTCATTTTCTTAATTCAAAAAGAAAATTAACATACTCTTCCACATGTGTATGATTTAATGATGGGAGGAGATCTACACGAAGAATGTGGAGAAAGCAGTTAATAAACTTGTCACATTTTGATTAAATTTAATTTTTGTAAGTGAGATAAAAAAGAAAAAAAAAGAAAAAAAAGCAACAAATGTTGAAATTGGTCAGCCTTCAAAATCATCAAGAAGAAGAGCAACAAAGAAGGAGGACTCAGAAATTTCAATATCTAAAAAAGAAAAAAAATGGTTAGGGTAAGTATTATATTTAATTTATTTTTGAGTTATTCAAATTAGTGATTTTCTTGTTAAAAATATTATGTCATGCATATTGTTGGTACGAAATTGGTGTGAAACTTGTACGAGATGTGAATAATATTGATATAAAAATCTGACATTAATATATGATTTATGAAAATGACATGAAATGTGATTTTATATTGGTATGCAACTGGTATGAAATGTGTTTTGACTTTGGAATGAAATTTGTTTGATATCATTAGCTCAATTAGGTGATTTCAGAGTAGTTTGTTAAACTACTCTTTTTTTATATGAATTGTGATTAATATTGCTACGAAATTTATATTTTTCCTTGTAGGAAGGTTTATTCTTCAATTTCTCACTAATGTATTTCAATTTTTAACATTGGTATGAAATTGGTATAAATTAATATTAATGTTGTTTTGAAAATTATTTTAATTGTGTATTTTGATTGTAGTTGCATAAATATATTAAAGTACTTTGTTAAATGTCACAGTGCACATGAATTTGGTATGATGTTTGAATAATATTGATGTGATTTTTTTTTTACGTTCAATATGATGCATTACTAAAATTTATGTATATGAATGTAGAATGAAACATGAATAATACGTGGAATGAAAAGTTAACTCAATTTATTTCTGAAAATTATTTTTGTTTCAATTTTTTTCAGTGATTGTGATTTATACACATGTTTATTTGCTGAATACATTAACAATGAAAATTTTTATAAGCATTTCATTGATATCGATGCAAAGTACCATCGTCAATGGTATGCCACAATCATATGACATTTTAGTAAAACAAAGAACGATGATGGCGTGATCATTGAGAGTGAAGTAACTGGAACTGTTGCTAGAAAATTTGGTGGACCTTGCATAGCAAAAGAACATGCGCCAGATATCAACAATAATCCTACACCAAGACCACGAAGATCTAATTTGGGATAGTTAACGGCAGTTTAGACTTTTTAAAATTACAAAAAAAATATTGACTTTTGGATGATATTTTAGTGTTTGAATACATTTTTAAGTATTTGATGATATATAATATCGATTGTTATCTTCCGATCAAATACCAACTACATATGAATTACAGACTGACAATTATAATTTCAGGATAGTAGTTATATAATAAACTGCATACCAATTGAATACCCCATTCAAAAGATAAATTAAACATTGAGTATAATAATTTGAGATAATAATTATATACAAATTGTATACCAATTGAATTCAACATTTAGAGTTCATGAACTAACAATGTCTTATTTAACTTAAACAAAACAAACACCAATTTAGAGTTCATGAATTAACTCTTTCTTATAATTGGTATCCAAATAGTATACTTTTGACATTCAAATTCATTCATGATTGGTTTTTTTACATCATATTTTAACACAAAAAAATCATAATAAAAAAAGTTGATATCCAATATAAATGCCTTGAAGAAATTATTATGCCAATGTAAAATAGTGATCATTGTATTGTGTAATAACCTCAATTTTTTTCATCTAGTTTTATATTACCGTTGGAGTTGATGTACAATCTGTATGAATACTGAAATAAATGAATCTAACAATTTAAAACAACGATTATTAAAGTTTGCATCAACATCAATTACATCTTGTTCTATTTTATTTAGAGTAGGACACTATTTAGATACTAAATTAATACTCATGCTAAATTATATTAAAGGGAAAAGGGTCAAAAATACCCTTAAACTATGTGAAAGTAACAAAAATGTCTTCCATTTATAGTTAGTTCAAATATATCCTTACCGTCAACACTTTGGTTCAGAAATGTCCTTAAACCATGCGAAAGGAACAAAAATGTCCCCCGTTTGTAGTTTGGTCCAAAAATGCTCTTGCCATCAATACTTTGGTACAAAAATGTCTTTATTGTTATTTCATGGCTCAAAAAAGTTTATTTTCTAAATAAATATATTATTATTATTATTGACACATTTTTTTTCAATTAATATTTTTTAAAAAAATTACAAAATGTTTATCTTACATTAATTCAGAAAAAAATAAAAAATAAAAATTTTATCATAAATAATTTAATGTTAAATTGGAAACCATACTACAACATCCTCAACGTATATTATAAGAAGTATCTAATGATGAGATAATGAATATTGAGGGAGAAATATCCGAGAATGAGAAAAATAAATCATTTGAAGATGAAAAATGAAATGATAATGAAAATGAAACCTGTGGAGGAGGAATGGGAGAATGATGGAAATGAAACAAGCGAGGAGGAATAGTAATAGAATGAAAGCTAGTATATATGTAAGTTAATTTATTTTGATAATTTAATTTGATTTATGATTTTTATTTATGCATGTAAATTTTCATACAGATGTCATCAGGCGGTGATGGTGATAGACAACACGAGGATCTTGGAGTTTGTCAGATTAATAAGGGTAAAAAAAGAAGTTTAGGAGTCTCATAGATTCTAAGGATATTCCAGAATTTATTTCTTCTGCGTTAGAGTGCATCAAACATGATACTCATTTATTTTTTGTTTTGTTTGGTGCGGCGGATCCTCAAATTTATTATCCTAATTATCATCAGTCAATGCTTCCTCTATTTCACTGGCATTGTCTCCGTAGCTTCGAGGATCTACCTTTACAGCCTATTCGTCGACCACGATCCTTATCGACAAATAGGATACTCCATCTCCCACTCATACATCTCCTCAATTATGTGCCATGAGAATTGAAGATTTTAATAGCGATCAGTTGGATGCTATGACCCTCCATTGACGCAACGTTTTGTGCATCCTAGTGTAGCACGTTCATCTGCAGTTTCACCTATTTCTAAACCAGATGCTTAGATGCATGCTCTACCCCCGGTCCAAAAGGTCAGACATATTAGAGTCATGATTGATCCAGATGGATCATCGTAAATTTATTTTTTTTATTTATTTGTTAGTTTGTTTTATTTATTTCTTATAGTTTAATATATCATTCATGAGCTAACATATTTATTATGTGTTTTGCAAGTGGCATCCTGCCAGGGATGCCGCACGAGCTTTAAAAGATTGTGTTAGAAAACTTTATACGCAAACTTATCATTTTTGGAGCGAGATTTCAAACAGTATGCTTAGCGATGTTTAATGAATTTAAGGTATATTTATTTAGTTAAGTTTAATAATTTTAGTATACTTTAATTTTTTTTACTACTCAATCTAATTAATTTATTCAATTTTTCAGACCATGTGTACTGGAGAGTCGAGGTATAATTTGGTCATTATGATCATATTTGAGTGGAGGGAATCCGTGAGACTGTCTAGTTGGCTAAAGAAAGTTTGAGATACTGATCAACGTTCCGGTTGGATGCTACCTCGTATTTTTTTATGATTTGTGTCAGTATTGAAACACAGATAATTTTAAGGCAATGTTCAAACAAGTTGGAAAGGTTAGTTGCAGTGATAAGGATTGCTCGTTGCACACCGCACGTGTAAAAATTGTTACAACAATTACAAGAGAGAGTGTAAGTTCTAATTCAAACTTTAAAATAAATAATTAGTTAATTCATATAAATCATTATAAATTTCAATTTTTATTTATAGGAAAAAATTACGGCGCACTCCCATTGAACCGAAGATTTTCAAGAAGACTCATGTGAAGAAGAAAGTAAATGAGTCGGGTTTGGATGTGTAGGTGGAGGAAAGGGTCGAATGAACTTTTGTAAGTTATTTGATATGAATAATATATATTAATAGTGAATGTATTTATGATATGAATATATATTGGCATCAATTTTAATATTCAATATGAAAAATGAGTTTTATTAATATGTCGTTGAAAATCTAAATAGTTCGATTAAAATGACACCAGAACTGTCTACCCAAATATGGACAGAAAAAGTGGTGAGAGGGACACACAAAGGTAGAGTCTATGGTCTAGGCTCTCAAAACTATGTAAGACAGCTCCATTTAGGCTTACAAGGTATTGGATCATCACGTTAAGTTGAGGCACTTGACGGTATTCAGATTGCTTCTATGTCAACTTAAATAGCACAACTTACACCGGCACTGGAAGAGTCAGAGCGGAGAAGAGTAGCTAAACAACAAAGCATGAGTGTGAACGTTCAGGAAATCAAAGAACAAATGTTGAACCTCGCTCGTTGACCTACAATTTCTGCTCCCGAAGACACCAGAGGAGGAGGAGGATTTTGTAGATGTCACTCCCTAATTTATGTCTCTTTTGATACACATTTTGAACACTTTAGAAGTTTTTGTATTATGATCTATATATTTTTGAAGATTGATTTAAGTTTGATGTCTTATATGTTGAGTGTGATATTGAGATTATATTATTTGATTGGGCTGATTGAATATGAATTGAATTGAATTAATTTATATTTGTAGGTGAGCAACAAAAAATTTCAATTTCTTTTGTCAAAAAATTGCAGAAAAAGTGTCGAATAAGGTGAGTTTTCCATCACTTTTTTACATTACTTTTTTCAACTAAACTCAGAAAAGCGACGAACATAAACCTTTTGTCCGTCTCTTTTCCGGCTACTTTAAAAAATTCATTTCCAGAAAAGTGACGGACAGTGTCCTTTAGTCCGTCGATTTTCTGAGCTTTTCAAAATATAAATTTACAGAAAAGCGACGGAGTGTGTGACCTTTTAAAAATAAAAAATAAATGAAAATATAAAAGAAGCGACGAACTCAGTCGCTTTTGTTTAAAAATATTCCAAAAAACAAATCAAAAAGCAACGCAGTCCATCGCTTTTGAATGACGCTGCCCGTCACTTTTTCAAAAGAGTTGAGCCAAAAAGCGTCTAACATGATTGCGTCACTTTTTTGTTGATTTTGACGAAAAAAGTGACGCAATTCGTCGCTTTTAATCACCATTTTTTCGTAAACTTTGGGAGTGTATACATGATCCTAGGTGGGTTGAAGTTAAATGAGATACAAACATTAGAAGAGAATCATACTTGGAGAATTACTCGGCTGCCTAAGGACAAGAGGGCAATAGAATGCAAATGGGTATACAAGATCAAATATAAGGTTGATTGGGAGGTGATAGGTTCAAAACTAGGTTGGTGTCTAAGGACGTATTCAACAAATGGATGTATTCAATGAATTTCTTCAAAGTGATTTAATTGAAGAAGTATACATGAATTTGAACCCTGGGTTTTGTCCATCAAAGTGCAAAGGCGGGCAGTGTGTAAACTCATCAAGTCACTCTATGGACTCTGTTAGATTATTAGCATTTTAATATTAATATTTAACATATTAAATTGCTTTATTTTGGAGTTATAAGAATGAACATTGGAATGGATGACTTCTACATCATCCATTAGCATTGGTTGTCCATCACTTTATTTCATTCTTAATACCTACATTACTCTTTGTAACCTATGTAACATATGTAACTCCTATTGTAACCTATGTAACTCCTATTGTAACCTATGTAACTCCTATTGTAACATATGTAACCTATGTAACTCCTAAGGTCATTATCTTCACTATTTACTACCTCCATTATCTTCCTATTTATTGCTAGGAAGACTTCTTGTAGTATAAATAGTGGTGGTCTTCATTTGGTTTGGAACACACAAAACACAAGAGAAAACAAAGAGTAAAAGAGTTAGTCTAAAAGAGAGTTCTTATTAGTTGAAGGGAGGTGTTTTTTTTTGTGGAGCTTTGGACTCAACTCTTGTCCAGAGTTGTTGAGTTATACTTTGTGAAGGCTGTTGTATCCTGGAGGGGACAAGTCAAAGAGCACTACTGCTGGACCGGTGAAAACATTTGCTGCAGTGGGCTTGAATCTCCTTAAAGAGAGCGAGATATCCGCGCCTCAGCCTGAAGAGATTACTTTCTTCATTTTATTTTCAATTGTAATCTTGCAATTTTATTATCTTGTAAGTTTTTTCACTGACAATTTTAAGGAGAATCAAAGATGGCTACAATTGAAAAAACCGCGGATGTCAAGATGGGAGATCTTAACAAGCCATTTCGGTTCAATGGTAACCATTTCAAAAGATAGAAGGGTAAAGTACTTTTCTACTTAAGTCTTCTCAATGTTTCTTATGTTTTAACCGAGAAGAATCCA